ATAGAGAGACGAAACCTCTCATCATTCAATGTATTCACGGTGCGTGTGTCGGGTCCATCGTTGTAGTGAGAGGAGCTTCAACAGTGACTGGGACTTGTGACCCAGGTGTAGGTTTAATATATATAGAGAGACGAAACCTCTCATCATTCAATGTATTCACGGTGCGTGTGTCGGGTCCATCGTTGTAGTGAGAGGAGCTTCAACAGTGACTGGGACTTGTGACCCAGGTGTAGGTTTAATATATATAGAGAGACGAAACCTCTCATCATTTAATGTATTCACGGTGCGTGTGTCGGGTCCATCGTTGTAGTGAGAGGAGCTTCAACAGTGACTGGGACTTGTGACCCAGGTGTAGGTTTATTATATATAGAGAGACGAAACCTCTCATCATTCAATGTATTCACGGTGCGTGTGTCGGGTCCATCGTTGTAGTGAGAGGAGCTTCAACAGTGACTGGGACTTGTGACCCAGGTGTAGGTTTAATATATATAGAGAGACGAAACCTCTCATCATTCAATGTATTCACGGTGCGTGTGTCGGGTCCATCGTTGTAGTGAGAGGAGCTTCAACAGTGACTGGGACTTGTGACCCAGGTGTAGGTTTAATATATATAGAGAGACGAAACCTCTCATCATTCAATGTATTCACGGTGCGTGTGTCGGGTCCATCGTTGTAGTGAGAGGAGCTTCAACAGTGACTGGGACTTGTGACCCAGGTGTAGGTTTAATATATATAGAGAGACGAAACCTCTCATCATTCAATGTATTCACGGTGCGTGTGTCGGGTCCATCGTTGTAGTGAGAGGAGCTTCAACAGTGACTGGGACTTGTGACCCAGGTGTAGGTTTAATATATATAGAGAGACGAAACCTCTCATCATTCAATGTATTCACGGTGCGTGTGTCGGGTCCATCGTTGCAGTGAGAGGAGCTTCAACAGTGACTGGGACTTGTGACCCAGGTGTAGGTTTAATATATATAGAGAGACGAAACCTCTCATCATTCAATGTATTCACGGTGCGTGTGTCGGGTCCATCGTTGTAGTGAGAGGAGCTTCAACAGTGACTGGGGCTTGCGACCCAGGTGTAGGTTTAAGGGACCCTATTAACGCATTTAATATCCTAATATTTTTTCTCAATAATGAATGTCAATGTTCTCTATTCTTTTATAGTAGTAGTCACAATAAGTCGCCTTACCACAAGTCACATTACACAAGGACGGATAGTATTAAAGTAAACATAAACTACATTTAAACGAGTAGTTTTTTTAATCTCGTTATAAGTGAGAGGCTTGTAGCCTTAAGAACTGACCACTTTCTAAATAATTAATTGTCATACAGTTGACTTAGATTGTTATTTTACAAGGAAGTAGTATAGTAGTATATGAACACATAGTGTATAGTATAGTTGTAGTAGTGTTGTTGAACTGTGACGTCACTATATACAACACTCGCTACGTGACTCTCCTCACTCCTGAGAGAATGCACGTACAGAGAAAAGGTAGCAATACACAGACCTAATGGCTAATAGCTTTTTAACGTACTAATTAGTATATCTATTTAGATAATTGTTTAAAAATATAGTCTATACATCAATAGCATAGCTATAATATTTTCTTGTTATATGTACTTAGTCCGTACTTCAAGATTCAAGTGACCAAATATATACAGTAATAGCCCGCTTAACGCGACCCCGTTGTGCACGGTTTCACTATAACACGAATTTCAAAAATTTATTCAGATTTGGACATATTGCAGAGTATAGATAATAATGATAACCGCGCCTTGACCGTGTGTCAAACAATTAAAAACAGTGTTGGGTGTTATGAACTTATTTCACAAGAACGTAAACAAAACGCTACCCAAAAGACAATATGTACATGTATTTATTCGTAAAAAATAGGAGTACCTATGTATTGTATATAGTGTTCTTAGAATTAAAGTGATTGATTAATGATTTTTATATTTGTGTATTAAATTTTGACTGTGTTTACATAAACTTCGATATACTCGAATTTCAGTTAATGCGATTTTCTTCGGAACGTATCCCTCGCGTAAAGCGGGGTATTACTGTACGTGATTTGCCTTTCTATCTATCACCAATATTATATATAAAAATAAATATTATTTTTGTTCTAATTAAAGACTTAGTCCATCTAATTTTGAATAATCGTAATATTGGTATCAAAACAATATTTTCCTTAAACCAATCTCGTGTCAACGCGCGGATCAATTGACATACATTATTGAATGTCAACTAATATATAAAATACCTAAAGTTTAACAAACTGCTTTTAATATAACTGGGAAGTTCCCAGACTAATTAATTCTATTTTTAGTTTTGTTTACGGATAAAACTTGAAAAAATATTTGACGAAAAAATCTTTGAAGAATACTTTTTGATGCAAGTCGTTTTCTTAGAAATAAAAAAAAAAGTTTCCCGCCTAATTGTTAAGTATGCTTAATAGAAGTTTGTTTCGATAATTTTAATAGTTTAATTTAGTAGATTAATGAATGAAATACTGTTGACGTGTCGTATGTAGTGACGACAAAAACTAGGACTAAGAATATGACACGTAATTTTGTTTTTAAATTTCTTTTAGCATTCCTTCTATTATTTTATTTGATTGTATTTATAAAAGTCAGTAGTGGCCTAGTGGTTAAAGGCCCGCCTATGCACGAGAGCGCGGGTTCGATCATGTCATATTAACAATGTGATGATTCCGAGTCATATGTACTTTAGAGTATTAAGACATCACTGACAGATGAAGCAAAAAATCGTAAGGAAAGCTGGACTTATATCAAATTATAAGTTTGATATCACCAACCCGTCTTGAGCAAGCGTGATTAATGCTCAAACCTTCTCCATGTGAGAAGAGGCTATGCTCAGCAGTGGGCTCTGATAGGCTGATGACATTGTATAATTCATATTGTTTTTGTCATCAATCAGTGTATAAACCACTACCACGCGTTCTCGTGAGTCAGTTGGTTCTTTGAACTCGGTCAGGGACGAGTTAGTAACCTTGGCTGACGAACGAATTAATATGGAGACCTTGACAAGTTCACCAATATTATAATATATGTAACATATATGTATAACATAATATTCAATATAATAAGTTTATTTTTCTACTTATTATTAATAATAAATTGTTTTTAATATATGTATTTATCAATATGTTTATACTTCATACAAATATTATTGATATAATATTACGTTTGATTTTCCCATATTTGTGTTATTATCCATTATTATTACATTTGTAAATAAGACGTAAATTTTTGACATACATCACAGATTATGCTTTAATTTTTTAATCTGCATAACTTTAAACAAAATTATTATTTGACAAATAAATTTTGTGAATTAAAAAGCATCTTTATACCGAATTAATACTATTTAATACTTCATTTAATAGTTATTAATATTGTAATATAATCTGTGCAACTATAAAAAGATATTATCATCTGTAAGGCGAGGTTAAGGTCACGCTATTGGTAAACATTCAACAGAAACTATTACTACTTATTTACTTTAGATTACTGATATTCAAGAAAATCCAATGTTGTTGTAATCAATAATAAAACAAATATTAAAAAATATATAAGACCTCTTTAAAGAAGTAACTATTTTTAAGGCAACATTTTAGTGTAGTTTAATAAAAAAAAGTCATTTTTAAATTTGATTATTATTTTTAATATAATTTTTAATCACAATAGTTTATTCAAACTTCTCTACAAGAGGCAATTTGACGTCAAAAGTAGAAGAGTAGAAAAAAAGTATAAAGGAAAAATAGTAGGTAGAAATAAAAAAATGCTTATTTATTTTTAATTAAATAGAAATACTTTCTACAATTATACAACCGTGTTGTATATAAGAGAAAAAATTGTTATACAGCAAAAAGCCTAGATAGATGTAAACAAGAAAAAATCGTAAGCCATCTCATATTAAGTATATAAAAGTTTAATATAATATAACACTCAAATATTTTTGTAAGTAGATCTTAATATTTAATGACAATTATTGCTCATTGAAGAAAAATCAAATTTATCCTGTTTATGTTTGACTAACAAAGTGAACACGTACTAGATACAAAATAATATACATTAAATAGTAGACACTATGATTTTTTTATTACTTTATCAATGAATAAACACACTTGACATCTATGATAACGAAACTCACACAACGAAAAGAAAGAAACTCACATTGGCTGTACGGAAAACGACGCATTAAAATATTATTTTATGTGTTAATAAACTAATGAGTAGTGACTGCTCTCTAAATGTACCGTAAACAATATTTACAATGTCTACTGTTTGTTTTATTTGATATCTGTCGCGTGACTAAACGCGTAACATAATAAGTATATACAATATGTTACAATGCGATAAAAATAACACCAATTTTGAGAAAAAGTGGTATCCGTTCAAAAACCCATATAAATAAAATCCAACGATTATTTCCCGCGTTGTCGATTGGGAATTCCAAAACGGACGCTACACACACTCGTGCAACGCTTACGTACACACACGGTTATGAAAGGCGGGGGGAGGAGGTAAGCATTTGGCTAACACGATGCGGCAACCTGCTATGTAAAGTATTTACGCACACAGCTGTGTAATATCGACTACAGATAAGCTTATTATAAGTGTGATAACAAACTGACTCACTACAAAAACGAATTTCGAGGAATCTCCTTCCGAACCAAGCGCCTGTCACGCACACACTGACAAAATATCGCGCACGCGTCACGGACTGTATAAATTCACACAACTACGTCAGTCTGCTTCAGTTCGTAATAAACATTGTAGGAGGTGTTATACTCGTTGATAGAAAGATTGTGAAAGTATTGTGACATAAATCGTGTATATCTAATTGTAGTGCTGATAAGTTTGCAACTGTTCAAGGATTTGTGTGAAGTTCACGTGTAAATTGGATTTGAATTTAAATTTTCTTTCGAAATTAGAGACGAATTGAAGAGTATCAGAAAACCCAACAAGATGTGCAAAGATTCAGTGGTTGCTTTGACATCGGAGTCTTTTAGCGGACTTGCCGACAAAAGGTAAGCATTTTCCATAATTAAAGTGTTTATATCTCGTAATCTTTGCCACCTTTTATTGAATATAATTTAAAATCACTCTATCCAAGTTAGTTGGCACCGTTTTACCATCTTTTATAAATAAAACGCGATATATGTATCTTGATTTAATTATCTATCATTACACTAAAATATTTCTATGCAATCGTCTCCACACTAGTATTCAAAGCCCACAGAACAGCATTTTACACAGTTCCTTGTAGTTCCATGGGCCAGTGCCTCTCTATATAATGTATAAGCTACATATTTGATCGTTTTCCTGTTCGATCTATCAGTATCTAATGTCAGTCTTTTCCCCTTCTCATCTGTAGTTGTATGAGCCCGGGCCAGTGCCTCTCGTCCGTCCTCCTCGCGGCCCTGGCGGAGCGCCGGCTGGCCGTAGGGCTCCCGGCGGCCGTGCGCCACCTGCGGGCCGGGCGCGAGGCCCTGTTCGTGGTGACGGTGGGCGCCTCGCCCTCCGCAGACAGCGCCACTCACCTGCTGGCCGTCCTGCTGCGCGCCTTCTGTGCCGAGCACCACATCCGCGTGCTCGAGGTGGACTCGGACTGTAAGCTGAAGCGTCTGCTGGGCGTGTCGAGCTGCGAGCCGCTGGGCTGCGTGCTGGTCCGCTCGCCGTACGCGGACCCCTTCAGGGACCTCTCTGTCTCTGTCCCTCCTCTGTGTGTCTCTCCCGCCGAGCGGAGCCTGCTGGCTCTGTGTACGGAGGGCGCCGCGCCGCCCCTGGTGCGTCTGCCGGACAAGTGAGCACACACACAAACATACATTGGTATGAACTGTTCAACTCTGTATGCCCGGAAGGCTTGTTGTAATATTATTATGATAATAAATGTCGATGAAAAGTCGATGTGAATAAATTAAGACACATTATAATATATGAACTGTTGAACTCTGTATGCCTGGAAGGCTTGTTTGTTATTTATAATGAAAATACATATGTAAACTGTGTTTGAAAATTTCATGACTTGATGAAGTCGATGTAAATAAGTTAAAGGAACTTACATTAAGGTATTGTTAGAAGGCTTTGTATATTTATACTTTTGTATGTGAAAAGACACACTCTCATACCTCAATATGAATTGTTGAACTCTGAATGCCCGAAAATCTTTTTTTTGTAATAAACAAAAGTTGTTAAACAATTTCTACATGATCTGTTTCCCAGAAGATGTTGATGTTTATATTGTAGTATGTGATCAGTGTCACTGTAGAATGCTTTTTATATATTAATCTATATATTACCTAGTTACTACAACTATCTGTACTACAAAACTATGTTATTATTAATAATGTCAAATAATGTACTGTACTGTAGTTAAATGTTTTTGTAAATTTCTACATTTGTAACAATAAATGAATTTTATAATATTTATTTGTGTTTATTTATTTTCTTCCGTTTATACTTTATGTATTTGGTTAAATATTTTTCCTTATAGTTTTAAACAATTTGGCTTAAATGAATTATTTGACTGAAGAGAAGGAGTCTTTGTATTTGACGAACTATTATGATCTTTTCTTTTATATAATTATTACATACATATATAAAATAATAATAAAGTTCTCTACTAAGTTATTGGCGAAATAATAAGGATTTTCAATTTAAACAATTATTTAATTACTTATTTGAAGTTTATTTTCCACTTGGTAACAAGTAATGTCATCGTGTGACATTTAGTGACAGAATATACACATAGAGGCGTCTTTTAAGATTGCCATATTTATTCAATGTATGTATGCAAAGGAGTGTTTGTAACATACATTTTGCGAATATAATAAAGTGATAAAACATTCATATGTAAAAAAATCTAAATATGTTTTTTCTCCTTATAAATCTTTACTATAATAAATTCCAAAATCATCCATTGTCACTATTGTCTTAAAATGGGGTCAGTTTTTTTGGTTTTTGCTTGACGTTTTTCCCTATATAATTACTACAAAAAGGTAAAATTACGAAGATTTATCCTCATAATTGTTTTTCGATAGTATTTTATTCCAATACCGTATGACGAAATCTACTCCCCTTTCAGCGATCATCATTGTAGGGGCGTTGGTGTTCCCGCGAATTATAATCGGCATTATTGATGCATCTATGACTCTTAGATACTTCACACCGTATACTCTCAGCTCGTGGTCCACGACAGCCTCTTCATCTTCTTTGGGACCCATTTTGCAAGTTCCCACAGGATGATAGGTAGTAGAAGTATATTCTTTAGCCAGACAAATATAATACGATTCTGTTCCCCATTCATAATCCCGGCAAGCGGGTAGAGGCTCACGGACGTAGTAGGCACCTCTGATTCTGTACGCTGGTGTTTTTTCTAGACTTAGAAGAAATTTCACAGCATATAGAAGTGGTATAAGATCACGACTATCAGCGAAATAGTTGGGTTGTATGATAGGAGGTCCGTGAGGGTCGGTTGCGTTCAACAGAACATATCCTCTACTTTTTGGTACTAAATTCATAGGTCGTATAACCACGGCGTCATAAAACGCTGTCGGTAGAAACGCTACCTCCTCATAAAGTATCGGATCTTTAATATACTGTCTCCAGTTGTGAATGTTATCTACTTGGAATTGTATATCTGGTGCTATCAAGTCACGTTGGCTTTTGATGAAGCATATAGAGTTAACGGGACCGTTGGCTGACATCGGTCCTCTTTTGATTACCATGTCGTGATAATCTACTACGGCTTGGAGTATTTCCTCATTACTAACCAATGTTGATGTTCTATTTGGTAACGCAAGTAATACGCCATTAAACGTTACATGATCGTGGAGATTTTTACCCACGGGTAAGTCTTGTTTGACCGGTATACCCAAGTCGTGCAGATGTTCTTTGGGTCCTATGCCAGATAACATTAATAATTTAGGTGTATTTATTGATCCTCCACTAATTATTACTTCTCTTTTCGCATAAACCGTATTTTTTTTGCCGTTTTGTATATAATCAACTCCGTAAGCTCTATTCTTTTCGTCTATGAGAATTTTAATTACTTCCGATTCGATTTTTACGACCAGATTTGGTCTCTTTTCGATGATGGGTTGTAGGAAGGCTGTGTTGGTTGAAACTCTTTCTCCTCGAACGCTGAATGCTTGTGCCTGGTTGTTTCCTTCTTGAAAGGCTCCGTTGAAGTCTCTGAGTGGAGAGCCTCCTTCAATGTAACCCTCTGTCAACATGAGAGGAGGTGTATCTATGTACGGGTATCGAGCTACAAACTGCTCTCCTTTCACACCGTGATGTATAGCATCTAGAGCTTCGATGTTAACATTCCTTTCAGATTTCTTGAAGAACGGAAGAACCTGCCAGTATAAATCATGATTACTGAATGACTAATACGAAATCTTAGATTAGATTATATTTTTAATCTAAACAAAATAATGATATGTCATCTATATAGATTAAAGAGATATAAGTTAATCTTGTGATATTAGTATAAAAATAATGAACAAGCATAAAATACATAAAGGTTTACCGACAAAATGTCTATCTCACTTTTTATAATCAAAAGTTCTCAGATAAAATGTTCAAAACAACTATTGATTCTACCTATATTCTTAACATATCGTCGGGGATAGTGCATATCCGCGTATCCATATTGGAAGCAGATAATGAGAAGAAAGTTTGACCTAAAATATTTTCCAAATTAATGACTTTTAAGGTATTTTTTTTCACAATTAATAATAAATTAAACACTAAATAATTACTAATAAGTCATTAAATTTTCTTCTGATAATCTGCTTCCAATGTAGATACGCGGAATTATCCAACGCTTACGCGGATTTACAATATTCCCGATAATATGTGTTTATCTGTTTTTGTCAAGATGCTCACGTCATGATAGCTCCACCCAGGGTTCCCCAGGTCACGCCAGAGGTCATAGTCTACTCTATTCCCGCGGACGTACGACATAGAGTTAATAGTACTTGATCCACCCAGTACTTTACCTCTGATAACAAAAATATAATTACTACGTATAGATCACAATCCAATAATAATTGTAAATGGTACACTGACTTGTGACACTTATGGTCGCATGTTTAATGCTAAGATTTGGGTACTTTAATCACGTGAGGTCGCATTGCAGGTCTTAAATATTACCTATGTAAACAATATAAAACAAAGCAAAAATCACTATAGCCGAAAACGGCTGGGTAGACATAATAATCCAATATATATTTTAATTAATTTATAATTTGTAACACAAAACCGTATGCAATATCCCTGAACTAGTCTAGTTCAGTCTAGGGACTAGTCTAGTCTAGACTATTTTTCAATCAACGGTTATAACCGTTAGAGATATTCAAATTCAAAAATCATTATTCGATCGTCTTTTGTTTACGGAAAAAAAAATCAAAACAATTATGTATACTGAAAATGTATTGTATATAATTAATTTAGATATATAAATTCAAATGTATATCTGTTTCTGGTAATTAGTTTGTATTTTCCTGTATTATAAATGGTTTGTAAACATCCGATATTAACTCTAATTATATATTTTTGACGTTTTCTTTTCTTTGTAATCCGTGCCAAGGATTGATTGATGTATAAAAATCATTGGTGTTTATTAAGGATAAATAAATACATATAAAACTTGTCTATAATTTAGTTCAGATAAATTTTTAAGATACTAGTATTCTATTTTAATTCAGCACTACATTTACGTAAGTGCAGAAATAAGTATAAATAAAGTAAGTTTTAAATTATTTTTTATGTTATACTAGTTTTTGTTCTTGACTTTGTTCGTTTGATTTTCAGAATAAGGCTCAGAGTTAAATATGTTTTATAACAATAGAAAGGTTACCAAACACATACAGTCTGATTAACTTGACTTAAAATACAAGAAAACTTTTATTACTTCATAAATCTTTATAAATTATAGCCTATATCTCATTCTGATGCTTAAACTATATTTTTGTAAAGTTTCATCAAAATCCATTCAGTAGATTTCGTGCTAAGCAGCAACAAACATATTACTAAGAATACCTTGGCATAGGACATCTTTGATTACGGTGAGAGAGACAACTCTTTCCGTTTGGTTCCGTAGAGTAATTCCAATCTATATTAGAGCCGAGTAGAGCCGTGGAGAGTGCTGGCGATAGAGTTACATCCGGTTGACGACCACCAGCCTCCAACAATAGAACCTTCAACGTTAAATAACGAGAGTTTAAACTTGGCACTATAGCTCAAATGTTACAGCGACTGTAACTTAATATTAGAGACTATAGGTTCGAAACCTGTTTTTAATCGGTTTTTTTTGTTTTATCATTTAATTATAACTAAAATAATTACAAAGATTTTATAATATTTACAAAGTCTTTTCTTTTACAAAGATTTGAGTATTAATCACCACACTTGCTCAAGACGGGTTGGTGATTTAAATTTTCAAACTTTTAATTTTATATAAGTCCATGTTTCCTCACGATGTTTTCTTTCACCCTATGTCAGTGGTGTCTAAATACTCGTATAACTTATATATGACTCGGGAAAATCACATTGGTACTTGCCCGGGCCAGGATCGAACCTGCACCCTCATGCACGAGCGGGCCTTTAACCTCTAGGCCACCACGATAATATTTTTTTTATATTATTGTATACCTACAGCCTACTTATAAATTGAGTTATTTAATTGTGTCTACAATTGTTTTAGGATGTATCGTACATTGCACGATATAATTGAATTAAGCAATTAAATCGTTATCTATAATGTATAATGATTTCACAAAATGATTAATACTTTGTTTTTCCACGTGATTAAATAATCATTAAAAAGTATGGATTTTTGTACTACAAGTGTGTAGTGTTAATATATACGGCGCTTTAAAAGTATTTCATTGATAAATGTTCACACATTATAGTATTAACGTAGCTTATTGATTGACAAAACGATTTTTTATTCGTGTGACGATGCGAACTTGTGGTAATATTTTATAATATTTATTAAATACGATAAACAATAAAGGCATTATTTTTTCTAAGGTTCATGATATTATAAAAAAACTTTACTTTTTGCTATATAATTGTTATTTTTTTTAAGATAACATGTTGCTAAGTCAGAATTACCAACAAACGCATCGGAAGTCGTAAACATAAACAAATTGTCTCCGATACCTTGAAATATTCAGTTTGAATTAGGTTAGTTTGATTAAAGAAGTAACTACATATATTGTAATTAGCGTATAATGGAAAAGTCAAAAAACCTTGAAAAATACTAACAAATTTAGAATATTTTATAATTATCTCGTTTTAGAAAAAAATATTTCAATATTCAATATATCTGTTATCGATGTCTAATATCTCTCTATTAACTTTCAATATTATTGCTTTCTCTTGTTATTTAAAACAAGGACATATAAGATTTATTTACAGAGTTAATAATAGTTTTTCTTCGGGATATGTTACAAGGTTTGGGCATGTCCAGAACTTACATTAATACATTTTTGGAACCCTAGTAGGTTCTTTTCAAATTTGGTAGAGAGAGGAGCTTGTACAGTGGAGGTGAGCGTTTAACGCGTTAGATAGGGACCCCCTAAACCTACACTTGGGTCACAAGTCCCAGTCACTGTTGAAGCTCCTCTCCCTACAACAGTGGACCTGACACCCGCACTGTGAATATATTGAATGATGAGAGGTTTCGTCTCTAATATTTACCTTCCAATTAGGGTTTTCTGTCAATCTATTGGCAACCACACAACCAGCTGAACCGGCTCCCACCACTATGAAGTCATACTCCTGTCGATTGGTCTCAGGAGATACTTTATCTCGACTACCACCGTACAACTTAACCAACAAGTTTAGATACACATACCCAAACAATGTACAGGAATCTATTTGCGCATTGGGTGGACATACTTCAGATAAGTTTAAAGGTTGCCACAACATTTTGGGGCTGAAAAAAAGATCGAATTGGTCCAAAAATTTTAAGGAAAATATTAAAAACACTATACAATTGGTATATATTTTCTAAATCACAAAAGTAATAAAGTTTTTCGAACAAATTTATTTGGTTCTGATTAGGCAGGAGGAAAAAAATTATTAAAATATATCACGTATTTAGTTATTTTATCCTGTATGAGGAAATGTGTTTTTAGAACATGCGTAATACTCGTGTTATGTATAATGACTTTATTTTAAGTATTTACTTATCTTTTTATGTCAAATTAAAAGGCATATTTGGAGATTATTACCAAACTAAAAAAAGAAAGTTTCTGTTGAATTTATACTCTTCTAAACTATGTATAAATTTAACAAATTTTTGAATGATGTTTCATATCGCCACGAAACAGCTATACAAACTATGAAATAAAATTTATGAGAATAAACATCTTTATATAATAATTATTATTGAATTTTAATATTGATTTTAATGAATGAAATATATATTTGTTTCTCTTAGTTTTTATATAATATTAAATACCTAATACAGATGTTTCTATTGCTTTTCAACAGACGTAATCAAAAGAAAACGAGATAGAAAATAAAGATTGTTTTACATCTTAGGGGACCATCATTCTGAGAGAATTTTTTCCCTAATTTTGGACTCTCTCTACTTTTGGCCCTGATGAAATTTGGTGGGACTTACAACACGAAAAACTTAGAATATACTCTATTATTAAAAGACTTCATTAATTTTTAGATATCAAATAAAACATAAGACATCACTGAGCCTTAAAATGAATTTATATTTTGTCCTGTATTTACATATGATAACTTACTTCTCTTGTTAAATTTCTTACCTTTATATTTCTGATTGCCGTTAATTAAAATTCACATTGAGATAAATCTTCTCGTTAATCTAATAAGTTTATTAATAAATATTACTTTTGTTTTCAACGTGTGTGTAATTACTATAGAACGTACGTCTTTTCGTTACACCGTCGGGTACAAAGTGAACTCTTTCAATGATAATTGAACGATCAAAACTACATTATATGTTGTTGTTTAATTACTCGTTTCCAATGTTAGGCCTTGGATATTTTTGGTAATGTTTTGTGCCCGACTTTACTTTTTATATTGTAGCAATTTATATATTTTTCATTGATCCTATATGATAGCCTTATTAGCTGTGGCGAGGGTTATTTACTAAAGATAAACTTTTTCTTAAGATGCGATTGAAAGGTTGAAGAAATTGCATTAAAGAATTTGAAAATATTTTCTCAATTGATTGCTGAATGCTAAAGTCGTCTTTATAAAATGAATTAAATGTTTGTATAACAAGTTGCGAACTATGTACTTTTTGTATATATTTAATATAAATAAAACAGCGGATAAAATAAATTATCTAATTAATTAAATAAACACGAATGGATAAATAAACTTTTTATCACATTTAATTACTAGCTGCAAGTTTTTTTTTACTTTGGAAAGTATAGAAAGAGTTTTGATGTGAATATTACTTTTATTATTATTACGATTTGTGCAATCTTTTTTATCTCGACTGGATAGGGTTTAATTGTTAATCTACTCGTTGGTAGGTGGAAATTAAGTTGTAGGTTTTAAACGCACGCATTTCTGTGAGAAACGAAATACATATTCACCCTAACTGATAATAATAATCAGTATATGAAATAAACTTTACAGTTATTTTTATGTATTTCATAGACAGCTCTGAATTAATTTCATACAGCCGACGTTAAACCTGTTTTCATGATTTTCGTAAATTGAGTTTCTGGTAACTTATAAGATTTTTATTTTATTTACATAGTATTAAATTGACAAGCAATAGAAAGGGCTCCGATTATATACAGAGAAAAATATATGTATCAGATGGTTGCAAGAATACTTGTACATCGAGATTTGTTAACTGTTAAGATCCGTCCTATTCTATAATTTTTATACTTACCACAAGTTTCAATCGTTTTACTACATACGCAACTTTTTAATTTTTCATTCATAAATTTTTGCATATAACAACTCTAGACACCATATAGAATCACATATATTTTTTTGAGATCATTTAAAAAATCATGTATTATAGGGTTAAAACTTAAATATGTATAAAAACGAAGTTTTATAATTATAGAAACATTAGAAGACCCGGCGAACTTCGTATCGCCCTATAATCAAGAAATATCTGTTACGTTTTTTAATTTATACTAGTTTTTGCCCGCGACTTCGTCCGCGTTAATTTCATCATTAGTAATATATGTATAGCTACCGGGCGAACTCTATCCCGTCCCAGAGGCTATAAATAATCAGGTTTTTCCTGTTACAATCGAACAGAATGATTGACATATTAGTTACATAGTTGTCAAATCTAATGTCAAAGAAAACATTTGTATGGGAAATAGAAAAGGGCTGTTTTTAGGGTTTTCCCGGAAATGAATCAATTTTTCTCACCTTTTACACCTTCCCTGAACCTCCACGAATATTTCAAGACTAAGATAAGATAAATCCGTTCAGCCGTTCTCGAGTTTTAGCGAGACTAAGGAACAGCAATCCATTTTTATATATATAGAAGATTTTAAGCCATAAATTTCCGTGTTCTAAAGTGCGACAGAATGATTGACATATTAGTTAGTTGTCAAATCAAATGTCAAAAAAGACATTTGTATGGGAAATAGAAAAGGGCTGTTTTTAGGGTTTTCCCGGAAATGATTATTTTTTTTTCATCTTTTAAACCTTCCCTGAACCTCCACAAACATTTCAAGACTAATATAATATAAATCCGTTCAGCCGTTCTCGAGTTTTAGTGAGACTAACGAACAGCAATTAATTTTTATATATATATAGATTGAATAATGGAACTAATAAACTCACACACCACCCTAGCTATTCTACTACTGTTGGTAAGTGTTTTTTTACGAGTACCGTTGAGTCGCTGACCATCTAGAGGCTAACTGCAGCATGTAAAACATGATCTCACCACCAATAACTTTCCCGAGTCTCACCAGTCGCCAGCATCCAAAAAACCATTTTAAGCAGAACAGTAATAATGTAGGTTATTGAATTAGATACAAGAAATATTTCGTAAGTCGTGTGACAATGTGAAATAAATAAATTATAAAGGAATTGAAAAGTCTAATAAAAGTTCTATCCAAAATGGAAATCTTGATACAGGATTCCGAATGGTTAAGGAACAGTCAATATTACTATCCTTTACTGACAAGAATGATACAACCAAATACATCAAAATATAACTTAAGTTTGAAATAAGTATTTTTTATAATTAAATATCAACGATCACTTATCAAGTAGGGTATAAACTAATAAGAGACAAATTAAAAGACATTTTAAAATAACATTATTTATTTCACATAAGGTATAAATAAACAAAACCTTCTAACATCTTAATGTACATTCCTTTAACTTATTTACATTGATTTCATCGAGTCATGAAATCTTCAAACACAGTTTCGATTTGTATTTTTAGAATAAATTACAACATGCCTTCTGGGCATACAGAACTCTGTACTCTCAACGATTCATATTAAGGTATAAGAGAGTATCTTTTCACATACAAAAGTATAAATATACAAAACCTTCTACCAACACCTTAATGTAAGTTCCTTTAACTTATTTACATCGACTTCATCAAGTCATGAAATTTTCAAACACAGTTTTCATATGTATTTTCATTATAAATAACAAACAAGCCTTCCGGGCATACAGAGTTCAACAATTCATATATGTTCCTTAATTTATTTACATCGACTTTTCATCAACATTTATTATCATAATAAGTTACAACGAGCCTTCCGGGCGTACAGAGTTGAACAGTTCATACTGTTGTATGAGTGTGTGTGCTCACTTGTCCGGCAGACGCACCAGGGGCGGCGCGGCGCCCTCCGTACACAGAGCCAGCAGGCTCCGCTCGGCGGGAGAGAGACACAGAGGAGGGACAGAGACAGAGAGGTCCATGAAGGGGTCCGCGTACGGCGAGCGGACCAGCACGCAGCCCAGCGGCTCGCAGCTCGACACGCCCAGCAGACGCTTCAGCTTACAGTCCGAGTCCACCTCGAGCACGCGGATGTGGTGCTCGGCACAGAAGGCGCGCAGCAGGACGGCCAGCAGGTGAGTGGCGCTGTCTGCAGAGGGCGAGGCGCCCACCGTCACCACGAACAGGGCCTCGCGCCCGGCCCGCAGGTGGCGCACGGCCGCCGGGAGCCCTACGGCCAGCCGGCGCTCCGCCAGGGCCGCGAGCAGCACGGACGAGAGGCACTGGCCCGCGCTCATACAACTACAGATGAGAAGGGAAAGACTGACATTAGATACTGAGAGATCGATTTAGAGATAGCGTGGACACGATTGATCAAACAGGAAAACGATAAGCTATGTAGGTTTTACATTATATAATTTATGATACTTTATAATAAACAATACTTTGATTGAAGCTCCGCTACATGAAAATCATTATGAATTACCATCTCAATAATAAATAATTAGTTAATCACTCGACTCGTTTATTGTTTTCAGTTCACTTGGTGGTAACTTAGTCCTCGCTACTGACTAAGGAAAGTACACTGTGTAACTTTTACAGCGTTTCATCGCCATAACAAACCCAACAAACAAACATGAACTTTAGGATTTCATTTAAAGTTTAACCAAATACTAACTACTAAATATAAACACTATGTTCTACCTGACCTCTTGCTATACTAGCCCGCAAGTTTTGAAATACAAAGTTGCAAGATCAAGTTGTGCAATATTGAGTAACCAATATATTAATACTAACAATTCATTAAACTATAACTTTTCTCACCTTTTGGCGGCAACTTTGCTGAAAGACTCCGTTGTCATAGACACCACTGAATCTTTGCACATCTTGCTAGATATTCTAACACTTTTCAAATTTTCAAAAATTTCTGGTGAGACCGGGCAACTGTGACCGCGAATTTTCACTTGAGTTTTCACAAGTCCGTAAATACCGTTGATGGCGTTTACTGTTATCAGCACTTAAGTAATCAAACACGATTTATGTCACAATGATTACACAACTTATTAATGACAGACGTAATGACACTACCAAGGTTTGAAATCAAATGAGGAAACTCCGCGCGCGTCCCTTATATATAGAGTCATTGACGCATGCGCGGTCGATTGTTGCTTTTGTATGTGTGTGTGCTTTGAATAGTTATGAAAGAAATTCTTCGAAACTCTTGAATCTTGTACGTGTTATCATTCACGAGATATAGTATAAGAGATTGTGATAATACATTTCAATTCGGACAGGTCTTGACGTGTTTGGTAAATGTATTACATTGACCTAATCTCCCCCCGCGTAGTTTGTATGATAGTAATAATCTTTTGTATGTGTGAGTGGGTTTTATCCGCGCGCCATGTTCAGAATTCCCATTTGTTTATTTTTTTTTTATTTATTGTTAGCTGCGAACGGACGCATACATTTTGTTACTTAAATAATTAATTAGAATAATTTTTGAAGTTTTAAATGGTTTTAGTATTTAATATACGAAGTACTACTTGCAAATAACGACTTGTTCATATTTATTTTGTAATAATAACACATCTAGTAGATAATTTAGAAAGACAATATCATTTATTATGAAATAATTAAGTACTATAATATATGGTATAAGATTATATATTTTAATCCAATTATAAAGATACCGGATCAAGTAAAATGTATTTTTTTGTATGAGGTCTTACAATGAGGTCAAGGAACTGAATTTGCATCGATTGGACATACATTTTCAATTTCGCAATATTTCATATAGTGAAAACATTATATTTTTTACTTTAGTTTCTTTATATTACATTTGTTTTAATAAACTTGTTTATGTTTTATATGTATATATGAAGAGGTTTTTTGTATATAGATTATTTAAACTTTGTGGTCATTACTCATTATACTATTATGCTATACATTTTCTTTGATACATAGGTAACTGAAATTTCTATTAATATTATGTAACTGTTAAATTCTAAGTTAAATATTCAAAATGGCGTTCATTTGGAGTCCGTACATAATTAACGAAACGTATTGTCTTAATCCCTACTATTATTATAATTTATAAATGCGAAAGTAACTCTGTCTGTATGTTACTCTTTCACGCCAAAACCACTGAACTGATTTTAATGAAGTTTGGTACAGACATAGAGTTGACCTTGAGAAAGAACATAGGATAGTTTTTATCCCAGACTTTTGAAATGTTCTATTGGAAACGCGATATAACCGAACTCCACGCGGGCTAATCTGCGGGCGGAAAGCTAGTTTTAAATATAAGCGAGTTATTCTATATAACATTTACCATGAGTTCCCTTCCGTATACTGTACTTATACTTTCTAGTTTTTCATTCATTTATTTAATATAATCGTGAGCGTTACCACGCTTAGTACTAGTTCAAATTATTAAACTAACTACAAAGTGTAGTTAACATATAACTGTAAAACTAAAAGTGCTCTGTATATTATAACGATGAAAGTTTTGTTGTCTTAAATAGCGTTGGGTTAATAAGAATATTACTTTAATGACAAAACACGACTAACTTTTTAAAGAAAATAATTAAAACACTACGACTCCTTGGTAAGTAACTTGTTTATTAAAAAAAATCACAAAATAATGAATAATTACATTCCAAATTCTCTTTAAATCATCTCTCTTTTCCTCTTCTTAAAATACCTCTCCCGCCGCCAACTCACCTCTTTATTTTTGTTGCAACAATAAAGCGAAAATATATTAAACGATATATGCAACTGTATAATAATAATAATAGAAATATTGACTGTAACAATTTTAAAATTTGCATCATATTTAATAAAATGATAGTTAAAACTAAACGTATATTAAATAATAATTAGATTACCTCTTAACTAAACATTAAAGGAATGTATAAAACAATTTGTTTTATCATAAGATAATATGATATCTATTATTGCGCAATATAAACGCCATCTTTCTGTGGATAGCGACCTAGATACTAAGTTCGTTAAACTTGACACACAAATGATTTTATCAAAATAATCTTGTTTTAATTAAGATTACCATAAAATATCATTAAAATGTCGATAACGGTACTGTAACGATAGTGTATTTCTTTGATAATTCAACTGGAGTACTTATTACATAGTACATACTACATAGTTTTTCGGCAGCAGCTTCGTCCGCGTGGAGTTCGGTTATATCGCGTTTTCAAGAGAACCTTTCAAAAGTCTGGGATAAAAACTATCCTATGTTCTTTCTTAAGGTCAACTCTATATCTGTACCAAATTTCATTAAAATCAGTTCAGTGGTTTAGGTCTGAAAGCGTAACATACAGACAGAGTTACTTTCGCATTTATAATATTAGTAGGGATAGGGATATGGCTTTAATCACGGATGTGTTTCATAATCTACATTTACTAATTACTATTAATTACAAATTTTTCGCTACCTACTTACAAAAATCTTCTTATTTTTTCCTTTAAACTTCACTTTATCCTTAATTATATTTACATTTAGACATTTTCATTCATTTTAGCACGCATTTTGTGTAATTTTTTACTGTAATACTATCAAATGTCATATTGGGGTTGACAACCCAGACAGACACTAAAAGTACTTCATATTATCTGTGCATTTATCAGCTCTTTATAGAGCAATTATTTATTGTTACTACAGTAATCTAACATCAGATTTTATGTGATTAGATTTAAATATTTATAATAATAAAGTTGTTTGATAGAAAATCCGCCATTTTTAAAATTCTGTCAATTTATTAATACGCTTTTAAATAGTTTTTGAATCATAATAATAATTTGTCGTCACTGCATTTAATTTAAATTAACATTCTTATTTTTATAACTATGAATTTAATTATATGGAATTTTACATTTACGAAAAAAACTTTATTAAATAAAACAACTTAAACTATCAATGACAACTGTTTAATGCAACAATTTCTGAACTGTTTTTACGTAATCATTTATATTCATTGTGAAATAATAAAATGAATTAAATCCATTAATTAATATACAATATTAAGTAGAAATGTCTTGAATATGTCTATTTTCTTTAATATTATGACTGATTAGTCATATACAAGGTTGGCTGTATCGACTCTAGCCTTCGTCACTGCCACAGGTCAAAGACCCTTTGACAAGCTGAGTCATAACACGCTTTTATTAATTACTGAATATATAATATTTAATAAAAACAATTATTCTATACATTACATAAACTTCATTCTTGAATATATTTAATAAAATTGTTAAGTCATGAAATTATTTATAACATATATATTTTCATGACTTAACATTTTTTTTTATTTGTTTACATATTTAAGTGACGTGTATATAAGCGAGAATTATGTATCGTTAAATATCATTAATATCTTCACATTCCTGACAAATCGATAAGAGTTTTATCAAAAATACTTTAATTATTATAGCATGATAATTGTATTTTAAATTAAAATTCAATTTTATGTAAACAAATAATTAAGGTTTTAATGTACGTTAATAATAGTTGAAATGTATTAAGTGCAGGTTTGTGTTAAAAAAACACATAAATATTTTAATGTTACCATTTACAAAAACTATTATCCTAAATTATAATTGACTTATAGGTTTGTTTTAGAAAGATATTTTACTAGGAAGAGATTTAAACATTTAGTTGAATGAATCCATTATTCTGTTTTTTCTATGGCTTCATTCACGCTGGAATCTTGAAATATTTCGCCAATGTCAAAGTTTTTATTTATTGGACGAATTAAAATCTTGAATCTTGAATAATATGTGGAAAAAGAAAAGAAAAATTTATCGAATGGAATCAAGTATCCATTTTTCTTAATGCAATATTACCATTAACAATTATTAAACGTTCTTGACTAAATGTCAGAACACAGACGTCATAATAATATGAACAGAAAAACTCCATAACTCCAGAGTAATTTAATGCAATATAAAAATAAATTAATTACATATATGATAAAAGTTAAAACAATATAAATTATAAAAATATAAGTACTGATTTTTTTAAGGAATACTAGCTTCTGCCTGCGACTCCGTCCGCGTGGAATAGTGACTTCCGGCAGATTTTTGGTTCTTCCCACATAGTTCCCGTTCTTGCGGGGTTTTCGGAATGGTCGAGTTCCCGTAGAATTTTCAGGATAAAACCTATGTTTTTTTTAATTCACAATGAAGTACTCTTAACCAACAACATATTTATTTATTTATTTGAATAAAGATTAATATTATTATGTTGATACAATTTAAACAAATTATTTCGACCAAATTAGGTACCATAAAAACGGTTTTTGTGAGTTAATCTTAAAAGATAGACATATACTGTCGCGGACTGTTTTTTAGATCATTAAAAGAGCTATTATTCTTTAATACATATTTTTGTGTATCTTGAACCGTTTTCACGGCGCACGCAACGGAAGGCTTCAGAGATGAAATAATTTCTCCCGTTTTTACACATTTACCACTATATCTTTGCTCCTATTGGTCATAGCGTGATGTTATATAGCCTACAGCCTTCCTCGATAACTGGACTATCCAACACAAAAAAAATTATTCAATTCGAACCAGTAGTTTCGGAGATTAGCGCTTTCAAACAAACAAACAAACAAACTCTTCCGCTTTATAATATGTATTAGTATAGATAAGTATGTGTGGTATAAAATTATAAGTAGGTAGTTGATATAAATGTGATGTAATATTATGTTTCTTGAGGAGTGCTCTATACAACACGTAGGGTCTTTCAGAAGCTCAATATCTATTTTCTTCATGAACAAAGTAAAAGGTCAACTTGCGTTAAACATACGTATACGTATGTAATAATGTTTCTTTAATTTTACCCTAAATTATATACAATGATGATTTAAAAATATTTAAACATAACAACGTAAGTATTGAATATTAATTAATATCATTCCTAGAACATTCACTGACTCTTTACTCTATACAATGGATGGACAATACATTAAAATAAATAAAACGCTACTTGAATATAAACAAAGCGGTAATACCCGGGGTGTTAAAATAGTTGGGACAAACCTCAGGGACTGTCCCTATAGGGTCCGACACGGGAAGTTGATGAACAAAGGATTTTAATTATATAAACTAGTTTTATATATAGGTACAAAGATATAAATAATTTGTTCTTACTAAGTAGATATGGTTTCCAACAAGTAGCGCCATCTATGATCGGTGGGAGGAGACTTCATACAAAATATTTATATATTGTGTTATCGTTGGAACTATAAGGAATCTGGATATAACATATAATTATAATATATATATATATATTTGTGTATATATAAAGTATATGACACTAATATTCCATTAAAATTTCTTAAATATTTATTTCGTTCATGGATCGAAAACAACGTTTCCACAAACTTTCAACATTTTAATATACATATACATTTTAAAGTGATTGACCAATATTTTAAGTTGTTTTCTATAGTTTTTGGATTATTTACCGTAAGATGAAAATTATTTATAGGAGGTTTAAAGATTGCTTGCCTAGTTTTGTATTGAGATCAAAAAATACTAAGCTTTTATTGTTTTGTAATGAGACAAAATACTAAGCAATTATTATTATTCAGGGACATAAAAACGAATTTTAATGACAGAAGATTATTGACAGTTGACTATGTACAATATTATTTTATATCTATTGATAAAAAACATATTAAATTTATATAATATAATTAAAATCAAATCGTAATTAATATTCCAAGCACGCCTGCATGTTAGGTATCACAGTAACCTGAAATTTAATCTTCGTATTTGTGTTAAAACAACAGTTAAATACCGGTCCGCTTTCAATTTCCACGACACACTTTTATTATATTTAACATATCTCACCTAAAATTAACCAAAATTTATCGATATAGACCGTTAAAAAGCTATTAAGTTCGTGTGTCAAATGTACGTGCCCTCTCTCAGGAGTGAACAGAGACGAGCACAGTCACGTGGAATGTGTTGTATACAGGGTGACTGGTGAATTACTATCAATATTTAAGGAGAATACTCGGTACATGATTCTCATTCGAATTATGTAAAAAAAATAGGCACTTAATTTTTTACCAAATTTCCGTATAAATAAATAAAGTGTTGACACGTTCCAGGTGTTCCAAGTGTGGACGCGTGCGGCGGCGTGCTGATACAACACCACGCCCCGTTCGCGTGTATGTGTGTGTGTGTGTGTGTGTGTGTGTGTGTGTGTGTGTGTGTGTGTGTGTGTGTATACCTAATCTGTAGGGTGTTCACACGATGCGTAATTAATTACATAACTTTTGGTTAACTTTACTTAGAAGTTTATTAATATTTATGTTATATTAATTTTTATTTTGTCATATATGATTGTCAAATATCACGTCCTCAAGTATCGATAGTAATTTACCAGTCACCCTGTATAGTGACGTCACAGTTCAACAACGCTACTACAACTATACTATACACTGTGTGTTCATATACTACTATACTACTAGTGATTAGTCACTTTATACAACAGTTAGATAATATTATTTAAGTGACATATATACTTAGTGGACTAATTGTATTAAATAACTACATATATACTGTTACTATTATGATTAAGAAGGTTTGATTTCAATAACTTGTCCCATTAAGATATATAGCCAAACAATAAAACTCAATTTGATAACAAAATATTCCCAAAAAATCTAATAACATAAAAGTTTTGCTCATGATTACTGACAATAATATACATATTATGTCACAGAACTTCGTATTTTCATTTCACTATGTTTTAATCACTACGCAGTTGATAATTTCAAGTGTTTTATTTACAATACAACAAGTATGACTGAAACGTAATCACGTGTCTCGTGCGCAGTAATAAAAACTACGAAACATTTAATAGGAAACACTTTGATATGTCGTTTGTATCAAGAGATAAATTACACTGAACTATCACTAAAATCTTCTGTCACAGATTACGACGTCATTTACTGATAATAAGAATAAATAAATAAAGATATGTCTATATATTATGTATATACACATGTTTATGTCAATCAGCCAATTAAAATAGTTCAATACGCCATAAGAATTGTTTCTTTTTGAAATCAAAACGAAATTTGTATGGTTACTAAAAGTTTCCCGTTTTTTCAATAACTACGTTAATACTACGAGTATAATGTACGAAGATTTATGAATGAAATACTGTTAACGGTCTACTTAGACAAGTTAGTGATAGTAGTTTACTATTTAACCAATACTCTCGTCAGTAATACAAATTATTGGTTAAGACTAAGTACATAACAAATGGTTTAGTTAATAATGGCATTGTGAAGAAGATCTGGAGCGATGAAGTTAAGTTTATTCATTACTCAGAGTTCAATTAAAATACGAAAGTTTTTCATGAATTCTATTGTTGTCCTATATCCTTACCTTGAATAAATCAATACAATCAATCAAAATACTTTAAATCATTACCTTTGTAATGTTACTTAGAAATCATTAAACATATAAATTCTTAAATATAAATTTGGATGTTATTGACCTTATTATGATACCATGTGAATTTGCGAGACAATAAATATGTTTAAAAATTTAAAATAAAAAACAACAATTGGTAGCTATTATTTATTGTTACTTCATCGGAACTGGAAGAGCCTGTATTGAAAAATACATACATTAGTATGTAAGGTATTTCATTTGTTTAAACTGACTACGTATTATTTTTATTTAAAGCAGACATGTTTATATTCATTTTATTATAGTCCATTATTTCAACTGTACAATCGTCAACGTCCATACCACGTTGAATACACCGGTTCTCGTCCGATCACCGAAGTTAAGCAACGTCGGGCGCGGTCAGTACTTGGATGGGTGACCGCCTGGGAACACCGCGTGATGTTGGCTTTTTGCTATTTTTTATCATCAATATACTACGCAATATGCAACATGAACTTCTCTATGTTATTTTTTTTTATTATTTCGTATTACTCTATATCTCACACTGGTAGGACTCCAACAAGTTGTATCACGGTAACTTGGAGTCTGTTCCGTGTGAGCCTAAAGTGTATGTAGAGATGTCTCCCGGAGACACCGTGTTCTTTCATCCTCTCATCGTTCATGGATCAGGAGAGAACATAACACAGGTAACACACTTATGTATATACTAGTCATTTTATAAATAAGAAAGTGCTATATCATCATGTCTTTCTGAACGTTTACGTTACAATTTCAATGACATCTCAATAAAGAAATCAAAACACACAACAATCGTATGTTATTTTTTGGCCCTTTACAATATTGAAGATACTTTAAAATATTATAAAACAGTTATCGAAAGTTCCGAGGTGAAAGAACGTTTTAACTGAAAGGTAAGTAGCTATTCATTAATAAAATAAACTTTGAAATTCATATTATCTGACTTAAGAGAAGCAAAAGGATTTAACGTTGTAGTTAAAACCTCGCCAACATTTACTTGTAACTTTGAATAAACCTTTAGCACAATATAATTTTTGTTAATTATTATGTGAATTTGACATTGTAAGAAATACTTTTATCAATGTCTTTTAATTTCAATGATAAGCTGCTTACCACGTTTTGGCCCTGTTCGGGCCAGATGAGTTTTAATTTAGCTTCTTGGTTATCTAACAAAGGCTAAAAATATTTTTTATTATAAAATAATTAATATATTTGAAATATTAGCAAAGGATTATATTTAAGTATTTCAACACATTTACCACAGGGGATATAGCTCAGTGGTAGAGCATTCGACTGCAGATCGAGAGGTCCCCGGTTCAAACCCGGGTGTCCCCTAATCCTTTTTTATTGTATACACAATTTTTGTTATATACATAAATTTTAAATATACTTAGAATACATGTTTAATGTTATATACAGACAGTCAAACAAAAACCTATGATATTTATTTTTTAACAATATTAAGAATACATATTTGTTTTATTTTGATTGCATGTTTGAAAAGCGCGTACATAAAAAATAATATAAAAGCTCACAAAATATTTTTAACTAGCTGCCCGAGCAAACTTCGTTCAGTCAAAAGTTAAGAGAAAAAATTAAATAAATTTCACGTTTTCACTTTACTTATCTAATAATCTGGCGTGTAAACAATTAATGTTGATGGTTTCCCGACGCGACAGTAAGTAATACAACTGTTCATTAGAGAAACATTGATTTCCAGATTAACGCCGTAACTACTTGAAGACTGACTGCGATTTACTTTTGGTAATTATGAAAGCAAATCGCAGAGGAAATTGGAGTAATAACGTTGCGTTATTAACACGTAAACATAACCTTTTTTACATGTAAAAATTATAATCAAAAAGTCTCAAACGCTAATTACAGCAAATTGTTTTTGCTGTTGTACGCTCAGTTATTCTTTTATTTCCCTTTCTTAACATATAAATCTTCTGGGCCTTAAGAGATATACAAAACAAAAATAAGCCCAATTGGGCGAACCATTTTCACGTTATGTTCTTAGCAATTTCAATTTAATTTATATAGGTTAGAGATATGACTATGAATCACCAATGTTTGTAGAAAATATGCTATAGAAAATATTTTGAAATTTATAAAGGCAAAGTGTAGCAGTCGTGGCCGAGTGGTTAAGGCGTCTGACTCGAAATCAGATTCCCTCTGGGAGCGTAGGTTCGAATCCTACCGGCTGCGGAACTTTTTATTTTATGTTTTATATTAAAAAAAAACTAAGATTTATTTTTTTTAATAATACTCATACTTTCCGATTTTACTACTCACTTTTATAATTATTTTCAACAATATACTACCGACGTTTTGGTTACTTTGCATCAAAAGTGAAGTGAAAATAGGAAAAATATTAGTTTTACTTCAATGAAAACTCGAGAAAACCTTAATAAGAAGAAAGGAAAATATTACTTTTATGTATGTGATAAGCATGAAATAGAACTGTTACAAGAAGTCACTTCCGAGGCAAACTTCACAACATTTGTTTCACTAAATCTTAATTCTAGACTTACTTATTGAATATTAATCCATACATTTCCTATCAGTGCCTTTTACAAATCTCTACATAATATATACAAACTAAAAAGTAAAATTTAAAAATGATGTTTCTTTGCGTAGAGGTGAGTTGAGTGAAAAAAGTTTGAGTTGCTTATATTTAAGATAATTTCCTAAATGGGTATGTTTCTTTTGCGCCTTTATAACTTGTTTTTCTTTCTTCCTTAATATTTTGTATCTTGAAATGATATATGAAGACTCAAGGTAATAAAAGCTGCTACAACCCTAATTTAAATTTCTGGATTATCTTCGCTTATCGTTTTAAATCTAACTTAATCCCTCGCCAACAATCCCAACTTCAAAAAAGAGTAATCTAATTACTAATTAAGAATCTGTTTGATACGCCTGATTTAATAGGTATTATTCTTGTTTTGGTACTAAACATATACATAATATGTCGTTTCATAGAAAAAGTAGATTTTTAAAATTTCATTTTTTATATAATGAACAGAATTAAAAGCTATGATATATTGACATATATAGCAGAACAACAAGGCAAAAAAATAAAATAGGTTTACAATACGTTATGAACAAATCTTACTACTAATCTTTATTACTGTAAATTCGAAAGATGATCAGTCTTGTTTTATCAAAAACGTACTTTCAAATTATAGTAAAGAAACTGATAAAATAGGAGTATGCTATAAAATTAAATTTAACTAAGAAATTCAAAAAGTCCCGCCCCCGGGTGGGCTCGAACCACCAACCTTTCGGTTAACAGCCGAACGCGCTAGCCGATTGCGCCACGGAGGCTACGTTTGGTGGGACAAAATAACAGAACCAACGCTTCTCATCTTCTTTTTGTAGAGTAAACATAATTTGCTCAAATATTTAAAAATTTTTGTTTCTGTTTATTTGATTAAATTTAAACTAATTAAAAAAGGCAATAGACCAAGAAAACAAAACGAAATATAATAATTGTTGTGTATAGTTTATTAAAAAATTCTGACACTAAACATGTTTAAATGTAATTTTACCACTCCTCCTGAATAGCTTAATAAATTTAATTCCAATTAAAATTCAAGTTACTACACAGAAGATCGGCCTGAGGTAGTTTTAATAGTTTCATTTCATCCGATGAATGAGAGAGACGGTTGCACTTTCCTTTCCCGGTATATAATATTTTTTTGTGCGAAGACCTTCCGTTATGCATCAGCCTAAGTCTGTTTTGACGTGTTCACCATGTGTATGTGTATTGGGCAGCGACACTCAATAATCGACTCTCAAGAACCTTGCCCTTGATCTGAATCTGAATTTTAAATAATGGTTATTAGACCATCAGTATTTTTCCACTCTTCGCTTCATCTTAAGGCTGGTAGTACATCCATAACATCATGTTACAGGCGTCCTTAGGCGACGCTGTCAGCTCGTTTTTCAGTCTTTACCATTACAAAAAATTAAATACTGAAATCAAAATAACACGTTAAAATTTAATTTGCTTGGAACGAAAACAAAAAGTTTCCCGTACCGGGAATCGAACCCGAGCCTCCTGGGTGAAAGCCAGGTATCCTAGCCACTAGACCATACGGGAGATGAACGCTAAGTTGAAATTGTTTTAAATAATAAAATGTATAATGTAACAAGAAATATGTATAACAAAATTTAAATTATAAAGTTTCTATTTTCTATACACATACATATTCAAATAGGTTGTTTAGGTATAGTCACTACCGAAAATTACGAATGATAGAACAAGAAAATATTTGGTAAAACAAGTAATTCATTAAACTAAGGTTTGTCGAGGTTCGGTTTTTCTAAAATTTGTTTTTTGTAAAGTGTTTATACTACTTTACATCAAACAAAAATAATTGTTTTATGAACAAAAACGTGTAGAAACATGTCGCGACATGAATCACATAAAATAAGATTAAGAGTTATACATATATTGGTAAAAACTTTATATAAAGGTTTTGTGTTGACGAAATTTGTTAAGTAGCGGTAAGTATACTTTTTTTGATACATATTTGAAAATTCGTTACAAAGAAGTTGTTTGCGAAAAATATTCGCAATATAAAGGTATGTTTTAGCAATATAAAGAGTCAATACTTTTATGAACAACTTAAGGGGATTACGAAAAATCTGTTAAATGGAGGAAATCGTTATATTGAGGTTGTTATATTAAAGTTGCACTGTATTTAGTTTTATTGATCACTATAATATAATTAAAATAAATAAAATCACTATAATATATATGAAGCATTTAAAGAGAATTGATAATATATCTGTTACTAAAGAGTATTTATTTGACATAATTAAAATCATATAAAAAAAACATTAAGATAGATTGAAAATCAAAAAGTTTTGTCAGAAGTGGGATTCGAACCCACGCCCTCAGAGAGGACCAGAACAACTCACACCCGCTCTGTGGCGAGTAAGGGGAACCTTGAGTCTGGCGCCTTAGACCGCTCGGCCATCCTGACAGATGATCGGTGAGTCGAAATAGTTGATTATGTTCATTCACTACTTTTTAATAAATAAATTTGTCTTGAAAACATGATTAAATGACACATGCATTATAATTTTCAAATTTTTTGATGATTTGTGATGTTAAGTATTTTATTTGATTTCTTTTGACAATCTACCAGAGGAATAGGTGATATAAATAAATTATTTTTTGTAGATACACTGATCTGTTGCATAGTATGATAAAAATCTTTTGTTTTATAATTTTATTTTCGTGTTAAAAGATATTACAATTTAAACATTTGTACCGCCATCTATGTAATCTTTATTGAAGTATAACTACAAACTACTTTACTATTGCCTAGTCTATATTGTAGCTAATAGATGACACTTTACATAGTAATTATTTTTTTGTTTGTTAAAGTACGAGACCTAGAAAAGAAATTCATAGTTTTACCTTATTCTTTTTGATCTAATAGTTGATGTATTTATGTATTTAACTTATTTTAAACAATTATTTAGTATTAATTCATCTTCTGAAGGAAATCAATTAATTGATTATTTTTTATAATATTATTGGATAAAGTTATTTGAAGTTTAAAAAGTGTTGTACTTTTTATATTCTGTTTTGTGTTAATATTTTCATGAATTATTCTGATTTTATATTATTTTATAAAATGGTATCGATATTGATCGTAGATGTCAATGTCAAAAGTCTTACTTATAAGTTATACATTGAACTTCAAAGCTTGTTCGTAAGGTTTTGTTTATAAACAAAAATGGATGTTGAAGTAAAAATAAAAGATGACATGAAGAAGCTAGGCTGTAAATGCGACAAGAAAATTGTATTAGCCTACCATTTATACATACATCTTGTTGACGAAAAGCTGATGTACGATACCGAATACTGTTACAATAAAGACATTGACACCATGTATATTGTAGCACGGCCGAGAAAGAATGAGAAATTAAACATATATGTGCCTGTACTAACAAGTGAGGACATTAATATGGACTTTATAAGTGTATTGCAAGAGAATTTGTGTACCGTAGAAACTGGACCTAGTGTAAACTTAGCATTTATCGAAGGTGACTTCACTATCGTAATTTACACGTTCACTAAAGGTTTGGCTGAACGCCGGTCGCCTGAACGTACAACACAAATGAGGTTGAAGGAAGAAAAACGAAATTTTATTAATACAGAGTTGAAGAAAAATAAAAATAAGATATTAAATGATGCTTTAAACGGTGGGGTCGTAGATGATGATTGTGTTGTCTTAGAATAGATATTGACACAGAATTATTGTTCTATTTATAATATTTTTTTCTTTGTTTATACTTAATTAATATAAATATGGTTAACAAAGGTAATAATGGAATTAATTTTTTTTACTCAAAAATGTGAATGTTATTTCAAATATTAGTTTAACTTTATGTGAATAGAGACATACAATACTCAGTTGTATGTCCTACAATGTAATTTATAAATATTTAGAGTGTGTTTCATATTACCACAATATATTTTCTAAAAAACATAGATTGTTTAAGATTGAAGATATTTATTAATTTAAATCTTTCAACCAGTAAGTATATAAAAGTTAACAAGGCAGTTTCCATAGTATTTTGTCAATGAATATGTATATTGTTTTAAAACACAGTTTATCTAAATTACACTTTCTTTAGAATTCAAAATATTTATCATGTAGCCATTGCTTTTATTACTATAATAATTATGTAAATTATAGAAATATATTAAGAAGAGTATGAGTTTCCATAACATTCCATATCAACTACTGAGTTTTATGGATCAGAATGTAATTTTCTACAAAATATGTACCATTGTGAAAAGAGGCCTTTGCTCAGCAGTGGGCTCCGATAGGCTAATGAAGTACTTTACAGAAATAAATAAATATTTCAATAAAATATCTTATATCTTTACATTATTGTCTAAATTTATTTTTATGTAATTTAGTTAACCATATTAAAGGTTACCGAAAAATTTTGATATAAAGTCCGTTGTAAATGAAATGACAGTAATAATTATTTAATTTTATTAAAGTAAATATATCCACATTTTAATATTAACACTTTGGGTGGGTACTGCTAAATAATGATACAACCTTTACGAATTGTTCAACTGTTTGCTTTAAGTACTAATATGTGAAACCGATCTCAATATAAAAATATTTTTAGTTTTTTAATAGCAAGCAGTTGAATTATTTACAATAAATCTTATTTCAATGCCCTTATAATTAAAATATAATAATAAATAGAAGATAAATAAAGTTTCCTAATATATTGATTAAATACGTTTTTCAGTCAATACATTATACAAAAGTATAAAAAATCAATTATTCCTTATAAAGTCGTAATAATTAATAATAATTTTACTTCACTGGTCCTTTAATCTTCCATTAATCTTAAGTAAAAAGTGAATCCAAAAAATATTTATATACAAAATTTTACTTGTTAATTAAAAGTAATGCTTAATTAAGTCCTACAATTGAAGTGTCACTATTAGAATAGTCTTATGTAGCTATTGTTTTTGAACACGTAGCACCTTTTATAATAGCACATTTTTATTGGTTTTAATACATTTCCCTCTAAAACATATTTCTGTCTCGTGGGATACTTCCGTAGACATTGAGGTACTGAGTACATTAGCGGGGTTCATGAAACTAGATTGAGACGAACTTTCCGGTTGTTCCGGATCTCTTTCCGTAACTCTAAGATCTATTTCGTACGGTAATTTTTCCGTAACAAACTCCGCGTCGCTGTTGCGTGTCGAATCGGCTGTGAATTCATCCGGCAAATAAACATTCTCGGTTGTTGTTTTTATTTTAGCGACTTCCGTTTCCGTTTCGCTTTGCATTTGGATAGTTGTTTTGACACCTTCATTGCTTGTTTTCGAGTTTTTATTGATTTCTTCGTCCGAAGATGTAATGCCGAAGAGATAGTTCATCAAGTTGAATCCGTCTGAGCGATCTATTGATTTTGTAGTTGGTTCTGTGGTTTCGGTGTAAACTGAGCTATCAGCGAAAGTAGGGTCTGGGGAACCAGTGCCTAAATCTATTTCACCAGGATTCATTCTCTCCGTCGTCCTTTCAATAACATCAGTCTTGGTAGTAACATTCTTTATTTTCTCGGCATTATTTTCAATTATTTTGGTTATTTCGATGTCAGGTATATTCTCATGATCTTCCTCTGAATCAAAGAAGTCTTTTAAGAATTCATAATTAGGTTTGTAAGTAGTCGCGACTAGTTTGAGATTTCCTTTTCCATTCTTTCCCAAAGATTCTTTAGAGACTGTTTGTCCCAAATGGTTCACAACCTTTGAGTAGTATTGTGATTCGGCTACATCAATACTTTCTGACACAGGACGAACTTTGACCTTCTTCCAGAATCCACGGCGACGATTTTTACGTCCATCTAGGTTCTGTAAAATAGAAAGTAAAATAATTAGTAACATTTATTTATGGTGCATCACTGAAATCAAAATAGAATATTGTGCCTTTTTGTGTGTAAAAATATAAATCTTACCTCATTATTACTAGCTGAAGTATCTTGTAATGTACTAGGGGTTTCTTCTGGCGTTGAAGTCGTTGTTTTAACGGAATAGTTTTCTCCAGATGATATTATTATTTCAGGCGGTATTTCTCCTATTTCTCCGCCCTTGTGTTTCATGACTTTGTTCGTGTATTCGTTTTCGTCTTGTTCTTCTAAACTTTTCATCACTTCTTCTAACATCGTTTCAAAAGTGGATGCAGTTTCACTGGAATCGCTTTTAGATATTTTGCTTTGCTCGACGAAAGCTTCGAGTGTTGGAGGTATGTCGGGTGACTTCTTGTTAACTCTATTATTTGTCGCTGGAGTGACTGAAATTAGTATATCTTCATATTCATTTTTCGCCGTTATTATATCTAGTTCTTCATCTTTAGGCTTTTCTGTAGCTATTTTTGTTTCATCTGCTATGTTATTTGGATTGAACGGTTTAAAAGAATCCTGTGAGATCTTTGGTGACCAACGATTTGAATCTCCGTTAGTGTTAGGTTCGATATATCTCGGTATAGTTATCGAATAATTAGAATCTTGGTCTTCAGCCGTTGGTTCTTCTGTGTTTTTGTTGTATCTTTCTGAGAATCTTGGCCTGCTGCTGTACCTATTATATATATTATTTTTAACAGTGGTTGTTGATAGGTCACTTTGAGTGTCTGGTTTTTCTGAGGGTTTCTCAGTCGGTCTTCTGCCTCTAAACCGATTTTTTGCTTCATAAGGTCTTCTTGAGATTGTACTTTCTGTAGATGTAGTTACGTAACTCGGCCGACGACGCTTATAATTACCTCGTTTTGTAGCTTCTGTAGTAGAAGTGGAGCTTACTTCAGTTGATGGTTCAGGTTTATACACGGGTTGTCTGTAATCTTGGAAGCCGGGTCTGGAGTGAATTTGTTTTGTCTTTAGATCAGCTTCGATTTCTTCTATTCTCATTGTAGTTCGCCGTCTGTCAAATGCTGGTCGGTATGTTATAGCTTGCTGCGGTTTTCTCCTTTCGACGTTATTTTTTGAAGATTCTGATACTCCCTGGTGGTATTTTCTTACTACTCCTGGACGTATTCTTACCCTGTTATATGATGGTGTTGTTTCGATAATATTTTCTTCCTGCTCTTGTTCTTGGTTTAATTCAGGACTGTGAAGTTTTGTATTATCTTCAATTTCAGTTTGAGTTATCAAATCTTCTGATTTTTCAGTCTGATTCTCTGGTTCCTGACTCAAATTTTGAACGTTTTGTTCTGTAACTGATGTAATTGGGTTTGTCGATTCATAGTTATCTTGTTGTTGATTATGTTCTGCGTATTTTGATGGGGATACTTCTTCGAATGGTGAAGAAGCTTCTTGTGGAAATTCACTCGTTTTATGTTGGTAGGAAAATTGTTCTTCGCTGATGGGTAATTTGGGTGAATACGAAGCTCCAGTTTGGGAATCTTCGGCCGTAGTATATTGAGGGACAGGGTTATTCAATTCCTCGTTGATATTATCTGTTATAGAGATTTTGTCACTGCTGTAAGCATCTGCTGTATCCTCTAGCTTATGATTATCTTGGTTGTTCGGAATATTGGTTTTATATGAGGGTTCAGTAATGGCTTCAATGTCCGTTGTGCTCGTACGTTCCATTAATGTTACAGGGTAATTTTGATGCAGTACATCTCTTTGATAAGCCAAGTCTTGTTCCGTACTTCCTTGTTTATTCCGTTTTGTAAATATTTCGTCCGAGTCTGATGGTTTGAACTGTATTCTTCCCCTGGTTCTGGATCTCGATGATTTTGTTGTACTTTCAATGGACTCAATTGGTTTTCTTGTTTGTCTTTCTGTTGTTATTCTATTTGGTTCATATCTAGGTCTCGAGGGTAGCGGTTTTCTTTCTCTTAGTGGTCTTCGAGTGCTCGTCGATCGAGTCGAATAATCGTTGTAGTCTGGTTTAGGTGAGGAGTATCGTGGACGGTTTCTGGATCTGAGAGTTGTCCGTCTTGTTGTAGTCGTACTAGAAGTAGTACTGCTACTATCTAAACTGATTGCTTCATGGGAGTCATTATTAATATCATATTGATTATATGAAGGAGATACTTTCTGTGTCTGTATCTCTTCTGGCGAAGCTTCTCCGTTGCTTGAGGATGAGTAAGAATAATTACCAGGTATAGGCGATTCAGTCTCAAAATGGTTGCTATATTCTTTATTTGTCTGGTAATTATTATTCTCTTGGGTATTTCCATTTGATTGTTCCGCGGCACTAGTATAACTGGTTTCAGGAGGCGTTTCAGTTTTAGTAGAATAATAGTTCGTATTATATACGGGGTACCGTAGATTATGATTTTCAGGCAAATTATGAATTTCAGGAGCATAGAAACTCATTTGCTGGTGTCCTTGTACCGGCGATGGTGACGATTGATGTGATTCTTCGTTAAGAGTTTGTTGTTCAGGTGTTTTGGGACTGCCACTAGATGGTTCAACATTTTCTGGTATTTGAGAAGCTGGGGGTGATTGCTCGGGCGAAGTAGTTGCATAAGTCTCTTTGTATTCATCAAAGAAGTTATGGTAATCTAGCGGTGTGCTTAAACTGAAGGCCTGGTTGATCGAATATGGGTTATGTGTCTCTAAGAGTTGACTGGAGTAGGTTGGCGTTTGTGTGGTCGTTGACGTTGTTCTCGGGCTGGTAACTGATTCAGTTTTATAGACTCTAACTGTCCTAGGAGGTTCCGGCGTTTTAAAATTACTTTCTTGAGGGAAGTTGACA